TTTTTTTTTTTTTTTTTTTTTTTTTTTTTTTTTTTTTTTTTTTTTTTTTTTTAATCTTACATTATCTTTTGTTTCTGTAGAAGTTTCGTTCGCTCATTTTATTACATTCTTGTTCAATCGGGAATGAAATGGCAAAATCAATACGACTGCTATCTAATTTTATCACGTCTACTAACGTATTCTTTCTACAATATTGTCTGCAGAAGTTCGTCCTGCTCCACACATGGATAATTTGGTGAGCATTTACAAAAGCATGGAAGCTGCTTCGGGAGTTAATATATTTGATACCCAGAATTTGTCTTCTGATAATTTATCTGGTAAGATCGTAGTTCATGAACACGGACACAAATCGATTTCATTTTGCTCACTATAGCTTCTTGACCTGCCAAGCAACTTGTGCGATGTCGTGAAGAGAAGATGTTTTCATTTCTTCTCGTCCATTATAGTGAAGATAATATATCGAGATTGAGTCAAGATTTTTTTTTCCGTTAGAACTATGACTAATATTTTAAAGCTTTTCAAGAGTAAACCAATTTTCTTTCTTTCTTCCAGAGTTTTTACTCGGTTACTGTTTTTTTCCCTACTTTTCATAAGTTTCAGCTATAAACTAGAATGGATCTAGGATGTGGTAGAGTGAGGGCTGTCTTTAAATTTCAAATTTGGTAGAATTTCTAAGTACTCTCTTTCTCTTTGCTACTCCTCACTGAAGATGGAGACAAACAAGTTGAAGGTGATAGCAGTGGTTCAAAACGGCTCAAAACAGAAACCAGTGGGAGAACAGCTTATGAACTGAGAACTTTGAAAAAAGAGCCACAAAAAATACAAAAATCCAAGCGGAAGAATTCTGCTTCTTCCCCTCTGAAACCTTCATTTCCAAGAAAGAAGAGGGTTCAGGTGCCACAACGTCCTCTTTCAGAGACACCTACCAGACCTGTAAAGTTAGCATGTAGTCTTAATGAGGTGAATGAAGAAGAACCGAGAAAAGGTACAGATGCTTCGGAGGATAAAGGTCAGCCAGTTCTTTCACCATTTTTTTGGTTGAGAGAAAGAGATGAAGAAGATGAAAAGTCGAACCAGGAGTCGGAGTTGGATCAACCTACAGACTCGATGTCAATGAATGTTCTTTCCTTCAGTGATATAAAGGATTCACTGGAAGAAAGCACTTCAAAGCCTCCATTGGTGAGTTTACTGGAAACATTGTGATTATATCATCGTGGATATTGACTACTAAGCAAGTACAACAAAGAATGCAATCAATCTCAAAACTTTTATGCAGTTGCAATAACTTCAGCATTTGAAGTAATGTAGGTACAACCATTTTGAGAACTTCCTTCTGAAAAAGAAAACCTGTATATGAAATAAATGGACATCAAAGCAACCATGAATTCCTGACATAGGCTGCAGGATATACCCGTTCAACCTCTCTTGTTTACTTCTTATGTGGGCCTGCGGCAGCCTAGAAATTTGCATCTGTTTTATTAAAAAAAGGAAAGAAACAAAGCTAGTATGCCCCTATATTTTGTTGTTTCTAATTTTGCTTATTTTATCTCGTTTTCCTGATGTAGGAGGAAGTGTGTGGCAAGCCATCCAACGACTTGGATCTCTTTGATAGTGAAATGTTTGACTGGACTCAAAGAGCCTGTTCCCCCGAACTTTGTTCAAGTCCCTTTAAACGGCAGGTATTGAAGATTTCGTTTTATCATCTGAAGTCAGACATCTACCAGGATTTCCCCCATACACTTCATTTAATTGGTGCCATCAATATATGCAGGCTGAAGATATTGCTGGAACTGAAACATCATTATTGGCAGCAGCCCCTGATGAAGAACTAAGGAAGCAAAATCCAAATGGAAGCTATAATGGAATTGGTGATATCCTGGACATCTTGGTACCTAATGTGCCCCCTCTGGAGGGCAACAGTGTGAAGGATCATACTGCGCGTGCTAATCTTACCAGAAAAGGTAGGAAGAAAAAGGAAATTGCTCTGAGGAAATGTTCTAAAAGATTGGCAGAAGCAGCTAGTGGGAAATATTCTCAGGCGGCCACCGAAACTGAATGCTCGAGTCAAAAGCAGCAGCACGATGTTATCAACAGCTTTGGTAGTCTGAAAAATAGTACCAAAAGAAGCAATAAGAAAATGCACTTCGATACTGATGCAAATAAGGCTATTTTTGAAAGTGTTCCTGCCGTTCCAATTAATTTAGCAACTCCAAATGAGAATTTCAAAACCAAGACACCAGCCTTTCCAGAAGTGGAAAAGGTTAATCAATTCCTAGAAAAGAGTCGCAAGAATGACAGGGCCAGCAAGAAAACACTCTTTGGTATTGATGCTATTAAAGCGACTCCTGAAAATGTTCCTGCTGATCCAGTTAGTTTAGGAGCTCCAGATGGTGGACATAAGAATTTTGGAACCGAAATATTAGCTTTACCAAAAGGTGAAAAGGTTTATGAACTCCCTGAAAGTAGTTGCAAGAAAGGCAGAGGCAGGAAGAAAGCGCACTTTGGTAACAATGCAAATAAGACAATTCTTGAAGATATTCCTGCCCATCCCATTAGTTTAGGAACTCCAAACGATGGTCCTGAGAATTTTGAATCAGAGGTATCAGCTTTTCAAGAAGTGGAAAAGGCTAGCCAATTCCCCGAAAAAAGTAGCAAGAATGGCGGAGCCCACGGAGACCAGAGAGTGGTCCAATGCCGCATGAAGTCTAAGAAACAAAAGCTGGATTCAGTGGACGACAAACTGCAAGAGAACCCATATTTCAATCAGGATCAGCACGATAGTTCTGCTATTCCTGTTTTGATCACCGCACCGTCTGCAATTGCTACGCCAACTGATCAAAAGAGTGCACGTGAGAAACAAGAGAAAATTTTCTCTGTTTGCGTAATAACTAGTGAGTACGACAACATCACCCAAGGGAAGTATGTTGGTGCTCAGGAAAATGAAGGTCAGCTCTCTGAAAAGCTTGGATGCAGTGACGATGCAGACAACTTGGATTCTATGACCAAAAAAGGTCGTTCAGAGAAACGAGAAAGATTTGATGATGAATTTCAATGTGCTTTCTGTCGCTCATCAGAAGAATCAGAGGTAGATCAACTATGCTTATTCATTTACCTGTTTATATTCTTAATTTTCTCTCTTTCACCTGTCTATACCCAATTTTTTCTGCTGCGAATTGCTTTAAACGCCACTTCTATCTTTAAAATGATACAGGCTTCTGGAAGAATGGGCCACTATTTCAATGGGAAGCCGATCGATACAGATGCCATCAAAAACTCAAAGGTCGTACATGCCCACTGGAATTGTGTTGAATGGTAAAAGAATCCTTCACACTTTGCGACTTGATATACTTCAAATTGCTTCCTTTAATTTTATAGAAACTGCAGTTACTTTCTAAGGTATAATGAAGCCGATTTACAAACTCCGGAAATATTCAGCATGTTAACTGTGAAAATGCACGAGGTTTTCTTACCACCAATTTGTAGGTTGTTCTTAGTAAGTGTTTAAAAGTCAAACCTTCTACATACTCCCATGTGATACAAATGGGGCCAGGGATGATCATAGTCATGCTGATTTTCTGTACAGATGTCAGTAAATCTATTTTGTCATTATTTTAATGTGCAGGGCGCCCAATGTTTATTTCGATGGCTCAACTGCAATTAACCTTGAAGCTGAGCTCAGTAGAAGTCGAAGAATTAAATGTGGTTGCTGTGGAAATAAGGGTGCTGCTCTTGGGTGTTATGAGAAGAATTGTCGCAAGAGCTTTCATGTTCCTTGTGCAAAGTTGATGCCTCAATGTCGATGGGATACCGTAAGTGCTGCTTGACCTGAATTCTTACTACTAAATTTTTCTCACATTTTTTCTTTATGACTATCATCTTATGTTCTGATCTCTCGAGCAGGAAAATTTTGTGATGTTATGCCCTCTGCATCCGGATTCTAAACTGCCAAGCCAGGATCTGGAGCCCCAAGAACTGAAAAGCAGTTGCGCTCCTAAGCGGTATTTCAATATTGGCTGATTTGGAAAATGTTTTGGCCGGTCAGCATTTGAATTATTACAGTCCTCTATATGCTTCAGTTTGTTGCCTTCTCAATTGCAGACAATCGAACACTAAATGTATAGCTGTTGCACGTGAGATCAGCAATCATGGAAGGTTTACATTTCGTGAATCATCTAAGAAATTGGTTCTGTGCTGTTCAGCTCTCACCACAGCAGAGAGGGTAACATTTTTTTTTTTTTTTAAAATAACACTGTTCATGTGGATCTTTTTTCTTCCATACCTTAATTTCAGTGTCCTGATGGTCGGAGTTGCAGGAAGCTGTAGCTGAATTTCAGAGATTATCTGGAGTTCCAGTGTTACAAAAATGGGATGATAGCGTTACACATATAATTGCATCAACGGATGAAAATGGAGCATGCAAAAGAACCTTCAAAATTTTAATGGGTATTTTGGAGGGAAAATGGATATTGGGTATTGAATGTAAGTTCTATTCCTACACATGATTTTTTGGATTTTAGTTTCAGTTTAATATGATAACAACAATTATTTGTCGTCCGTCAAAAAAAAAAAATATATCAATGGCAAATGGTGTAATAACATATGTCTGGTGGAACATGAATGGAACAAGTTGCATCTGATTCATTCTTGCTCATTGCCATGTGCAGGGATTAAGGCTTGTATACAAGACATGGAACAAATAGAGGAAGAACGCTTTGAGATTACTCTAGATGTCCATGGAATCAGGGATGGCCCTCAACTTGGAAGATTGAGAGTCCTGAACAATGTAAGTTCCTTTTGCCTATACTTAATGAGATTGTCATATATCTATAGTTATGCAGTGAATTGCATTTGGTTTTGGTGTGCTGGGTTTATCTAGTGCTAATTGCCAAGTAATATGACCATTGTCTTAATTTACCTGTTCACGTAGTTTGCTACCCTATCTTTAGAACTCAATTCCTGCTTAAATTTCTTGTCTGTTTAGTGTTCGCACATTTCCATATACCTTTTGCAGCCATATTTATTGCCGTAATCTAAATGCCACCATGTAGCATTTCCAGATTTTGCATCACTTCCTATGAAATTTGCATAATTTGAGTGTCGTGAAATTTCAAATTTTGACCCACTTGTTGAAGCCAACAATCTAATACTCTTTTCTTTGCTAGTCTTAGTTTGCTTCCATGTAAACTGACATGAAAAGTTAATATTCAAATGGAAAAAACTGAAGAGCCGAACTCATCTGCACTAAGTGAATCCAAGTTGAATAGGTGAGGTGATTGTAGAATTGTGTTGACAGTTGTGGTCTTCTCTTTGCAGCAACCAAAAGTCTTTTCTGGGTTCAAGTTCTTCTTTACATCAGATTTCTTACCTTCATACAAAGGATATCTCCAACAACTTGCAACTGCAGCAGGAGGAACTATTCTGCTTAGAAAACCAGTTTCAAGCAACAAGCAAAGCAGCTCTTGTTCTTCACCTAACTGCCAAGTTTTCATCATTTACAGTCTTGAGCTTCCTGATCAATGCAATCCAGGTGAAAAGAATGAGATTCTCAATCGCAGGCGATCGAATGCCGAATTGCTTGCTGAGTCGGCCGCAGCCAAAGTTGCAACAAATTTGTGGCTTTTAAACTCGATTGCAAGCAGTAAATTAAGAAGCCTTGTGGAGTAACTGGTCGACCCATGTATGTATGTTTTCCCTAAAGATCTCATATGTATATTTCTGCAAGAATCTAGCACTGTCTAAATACAATCACTGAGTCAGTAATTCTTATTTCTTGAGAATGGCCAAACCAAACAAGTCAAGCTAAAATGATGTTATATCATAAACCAGGTCATACAGATCTTGTATCTATTGGTGTGTAGATGTATTCAGTGTTCTTTGCTTCTCTAATTGCCATCGTGTTTCTGTAGATTCATCATTCATGTTTTCTTTTCTTTTTTTCCCTTGATCGGATAATTCTTGTTTCTCCAGCAAAGTTTTAGTTATTATTTATTATTTATTCTTTATTCTTTATTCTTTTTAAATAAGAATAATTTGGGTTAAAATAACAATTTTATCTTATAATTTGTAATTTGTTCTCTTTAATAATTTAATATGTTATATGTTAAATTATATAATATTGTAGAGATTTAAATCTCATAACTTCCAAATGTTGCATCGATTAAAAAAATAATTATTTTTACCAAAAAAAAAAAAAAAAAGATAGTTTCTTTGATTAATTTTGCGTAAATTAGGGTGGGAATTTCTTTATTTGTAATTAAACCCTTTAAAAGCTATTAAAAAAAATTACACGAAATTTTGGAGGGAACAAATACAATTTTAGAAAATAGAAAACTAACGCTGTCCTCTGTAAACGAAACCAAACTATAAAATGTCATCATCGCAATTTCCACAGGGTCCTGTGTCAATTGTTTCTACTCCCATGGACTCCAACCCCAGCTCGGAAGAGGTAGCGAGGAACTGGCTTGAGTCGCCTGCAGACATCATGCCCATGATTCTGCTAAAGCTAGGTGCCATTGATATCCTTTCCAACGTGCTAAACGTCTGTTCTTCGTGGCGTAAGATCTGCAAGGACGATTTGGAGATCATATGCATAGACGCTGTTGACGTCAATTTGTTGATATCAATATTGAGTTCTTCGACTCCGATGACTTTCTCCTCCATATCTCTCGGAGGTATTTTCTTGTTCCCCTCGCACCTTTTCTTATTTGCTTAATGGATTTTCGCAATTTTGTCTTATCGGCCGGTAAGTTCTCAGTTAGTAAGATGATTTCGTTTCCCCCCATACACACTCAATATACGATTACTTCGTACAATCATCTATTCGCTAGTTCCATATTGTTGAAGGTGCCTTTGTTCTAACTATAGAGAAACGTCATCCTGAAACCTTGTGTAGATGCTGCGATCGTTTAAATAAATTTCTACCGTATGTAATATCGTGCCTATTGCATCTTGTACTGCCATTTAAATTTTATTTTGCAAATCGACCGTTCTTATTTTGTTCTTGCATGAAAATCTATTTCATTGATGTATTGTTTCTGTAATGCATGTAATTTAAATCGGATAGGCTCACTTCCATACTTTATTTCAGATCAAGTACATGTGATTTGATGTTAGTCTATGGGATGGCATGGCACTCAAGATTTATGTTGAATGAAATCTTGACTCTTAGCTTCAACTGGAACCTGGACTAGTAATTGTGAAAGTTTTGGACCAAAATTGAATTTGAACCACCATTCATAATGCAGCATAGATGATAGATTACAATTTTTATGGATATAATCTTTACCTTGCTTTAACTTATAGCAGTAGATGAAATCACGACCGGTGTCTTGTATTCATACGAATAGGATAAAACGGAAGTCATGAGGATACTTTCTATTTTTGGTGTCGTTTGCCAAAACCCTAGCAATTATGAAACAGAGATATTTGTAAGAACATCTTTTATGCTCGATGCAAATATGTGTCAAGCTTGATATGAAGCTGAGAATCAGTTTACTCGAATATGAGAAGGGAACCTAAATGGTGCCCGTCATTGCTGCGATTTCTTGTAAAAACACTATTTCGTTCTGTTTGCGTCAGAATTGTCAAATATTTTGTTAGAATACTTCTACCCTTAGCACTGATATTTGATGTTCAACCCAGTGTAGCATATGAAATTGGATGTTTTCTCTGATGGTTTGTGTAATCCACATGCCTTGCATGTAAATTTAATTTTCCCTCCACATGTTTTATCTTCTATGAATTCATATATATTTACTTTGTTGCAGCTCAGATCAACTTAGAAAACTCCCTGTTTTGCGTTCCTTTAACATCTCAGGTGAGGGAATCAGTTGCCATTCTCCCCATTTTCTGTGAAAACTTCGGAAACTGTTGGATGGTGTTGCCCTTTCCTGAAATCTCTTAAGCTGAACTGTCAAGAGAAGAGAACATATGCTATATTTGAACAGAAGTTTTTCTGTTTTCTGTTTTCTGTTTCTGGAAGTGTATAGACAACAAATTTTGGACTGGGTTTCGTATGAATGTAGTTTTAAATCTTCGAGCGCCCATTCGGCTCAATGACCATCAGTAGGCTTCCAAATATATAAGATCAATTAGCCCAATCCATTTCCAGGTTTCAGCCAAGCCAGGCCCACGCCTACCCAAAACCTTATCCGTTGACAGAAATCCAATAGAACAAAGCCACGTAAGCAAGCAGGATCTAAGACTGTATCCAAATCCACCAATCTGAGGCCACAAATTTAGCCCGTGGCTGAGTGGATGTCGAATTAGTACAACCTCTCATTCTCTTCCTCTTAAATCCATATATCCTTCAAATAAACAAACACAATAAGAGGGAAATCAAACATCCGTAGGCGAAAAACTTGTCGTAATTAGCTGCAAGAAAATGGCCACTACCATGATGACTTCGATCCCTCAGTTTACTGGGCTCAGGCCCACTGTTTCGGTGGCTCCGGTTCGCAGCCTGGTAAGTTCCCGTCGCCGCCATAGCCGTCGGCTTTGAATGATCGGAATAGCTGTAATGGGTTTGATTTTGCAGGTGGCAGTGCAACCGCTGAGGCGGAGGGGCGGCAGCGCTCTCAGCGCTCGTTGTGGTGATTACATTGGCTCACCCACAAACCTGGTAACTTTAAATTTCTACTACTCATCTTACTTTCTAAATTATTTTTTATGTTTTCGATTCATTTTCTTCTTTCATAATTTCAAAATTTTGTATTACAATCACTCAAACTTTAATACCATGAATATTTGACCGTAGAAACCAAGGATGAAAAATAAAAGCAAAGGGTGTTTAATAGAAAATAGAAACTAAAAGTTAGGTTAAAACTATGTTTGTTTAGAAAACTTAATTTGATTAGAATTAAGGAGTTTATAAACAAATTAAAACTATATATATATATATATATATATATATATATATGGTTGAAATTAATGGGTGGATTAAGAGAAATTCAATCAATAATGAATATTGTAACACTTATTTCAATTTAAGATAATCTGTTGGTAATAAAATTAAGGAGCAGAACAAATGGCATAAAATAACGGACGGATGATGTGTACACGTGACGATAAAAACAGATAATGGTCATATCGACAAGCCTGATGCTGTTCGCTGGACGGTTCGGATTGGCTCCATCCGCAAACAGGAAATCAACGGCGGGGCTGAAGCTGGAGGCGAGGGACTCTGGGTTACAGACGGGTGACCCAGCAGGTTTCACCCTCGCTGATACTTTGGCATGTGGCAGTGTGGGCCACATCATTGGAGTCGGTGTTGTTCTTGGCCTTAAGAGCATTGGTTCCCTGTAAAAATTATCCTCTCCTTTTTTTTTTCTTTTTTCTTTTTTTCTTTTTAAATCAAAATGACTCGAGAAAACACCTAGACCTGTACGATTCTGCTGTTGAACCTAAAGCTGTCTTTGCCATTTTGATTTTATATATGACTCAGCTTCAAATTCCACATTACTTTTAAACATTGGAGCTGAGTAATTAATTTTAAATTACTAATCCACTTCCTCTCAACTTACACTTTATCATAAACTTTATATAATTTAAAAATTTTCGCACTGTTTAGCAAATAATTGAGTTTTCAATATTTTCTCTTATTCATTAACTAATACACACAACAATGAAATCCTTTCGGGAGCCTTGAGAATTAGTAGTTAATATTTTTTTCTTGGTAGTGTAGGTTTATTATTATTTTTTCATTTTTTTTAAACAATTGTATAATTGGTCTTTGTTGTTTTTTAGACAATAAATCAATGTATATTTATTGTGAGATTATACATTGCAATAAATATCATCATTGTTATTAGTCGAGCAATACGTAAATTTAATACATTTGATGTTTTGGTTAACGTTAGAAGTACAAAAAAAAAAAAAAAAAACATTAATTATAAAAGGTAAAGATTATAGGTATATTAGTAAATAACATTAATGAGTGAAAATAAAAATCTCAAAGTAAATAGTGTTGTATTATTATAGAGATATTTGAATGATCATTACCTTTAGCAACATGCTCTCAACAGTACGCTATATTAACTGAATCAATGAAATTTTAAAAATAATTTTAATAAAATTAAAAAAGAATCAAAGATTTCTTAAATAATTTTAAGATTTATTACACTTTTTAAATTCATGTAATAAATATACCTAGAATTAAAAATTTAGGAAACTATTTTAGCTAGTAGACACTAGACAAACATTGAGTTTTGGCGTACGAGGCTATGATTCAGTTACTATAGTTGAATTTCTCAAGTTCGGCCTCTCAATCGTTATTTGATGCGTTTGTTTGTCTATTATTCTTCAACTTTTCGAAAAATTTGGTCATTAATTCACCATCTATCACAATTAATTCTACTGGAACACGATATTTTAATAAATTTAGTCTTCTTAAAATAAATATCTCTTATATGTACCTCACGTATATATAAAAGGACAAATGTATTTTTGGTAAGATTGGTGTATGCTTCTTTAATTAAAAAAAAAAAACACTTTAATGGGTAGTTAGAAAATATATTAAAAAAAAAACGAGGATTAAGAGATGAAATTTTATAATAAACACTTTAGTTGGTAGTGGTCGAATATATTAAAATAATAAAAAAAATGATTAAAGAGATTTAGAATATTTTTATTTTTGTAGACTAATAGGAGACTTGAAAGTATGAAATGACCATTTTACCATTTAAAGTAAAAAATAAAAATTCTCTCAATATTCTAAAACTCCTTTTTATTTATTTATTTATTTATTTTTTATAATTATAAGTTGAATTTAAATAACCAAAATTATAATTTATTTATTTAATTTATGGTATTGAAGAAATCTGAAGCATGTGGGCATATTACACCCGGGATGCATAATTCGATTAATTCTAAAAACTTGTGGGAAAAACAACACATTCTTTTTTTCGTTGGCGGTATGCCTCTGTCTTGTTACCATTATTCGCCGAAGACGTGGGTCACGAGTGTGGACTTTCTTACTCGACCTCTGTGATGATGCATAGTTTTAATCCTTCCATTGGATGTTTGCGGATTAGATCCATTTCTTTTCATTATCACTGCGAATCTTCTTCGTAAGCCGTGACGCTTGCAACACTGTTTCTATCCACCTTAACTGCATTTTCAGTGTCCTTTCCTTAATTTGGTTCCTTTTTTTGTTCTCAGCGTGTTTCAAGTTCTCCCGCCTCCACAGAGAGAGCTTGCAAGTCTATATATGGATACACCATGAATGCAAGTGAGTTGATCTTCTAGTCTTTTACTAAATTATGAATTGAGTTTGATAATATCGCGTCATGTCAGATGTTCCGAGTGATTCTATTGCTGTTCTTGCACGGAACTTTTATAATTGATTCATATTGCTATATTGAAGCTGCTCTTTGATTTTGGTGCGTGAAATATGGAGATGGGTATTGCTTTGTTTGCATTGTTTGTTGAAGTGTGTCTTTAAGCAGGCAAATAATGTGAAGTTCAGAACCGTGTGGGATTATCATAATGGATATTGAACAGCTATGAAGGAGTTCTTTAATGCAGTGGATTCCCGATGTTTCTTGAATTGAAAATTCATTTCATGGGCTTTCTAGTTTTTGGTCTTAAATGTTGAATATGGGTTTTCCTGTTTTAGGAAGCACATTGGGTGGAGCGTTGATGGTAAAATAATAGATCGATACCGAGCTCAAAACTCCACGAATTTGTAACATTTCCAACTACAAGGAGGAAATATGCCTTTTGAGGCCTTGGATTGGTTCTGCCAGCCGGTGGCAAATAGTATATGGGCAAAAGCAGTTGATAGTGCCTTCGGGTCGTACACACCTTGTGCAATTGACTCCCTAGTGGTCTCTTCTTGTCATTTGGTACTTCTTGGGCTTTGCTTCTACAGAACGTGGCTGATTTTGAAGGATGCTAAAGTGAAGAGGTTTCGTTTGACCTCTAATTGTTATAATTACATGCTTGCTGTGATTGCTGGTTGTTGTTTTGTTGTGCCTTTACTAAGGTTAGCCATGGGTATAGCGATTTTTAGCCTTGACGATCACACTGGCTTTGCTCCTTTTGAGGTACGCCTAATTTTCATATATGTTTCAAGGGTTGCATTTCTTTTTGGGTTTAAATGGAACATCATTAATCTCCCCCATTAAGAATTCAGAGGTTTCAGTAGGATTGGTACTTAGAGTTCAAGATTTAAAATTTTGAACCTATAGAGAAACTTTGTAGTCAATAATTTTTGCATTAAATACGAATTGCAGTACGATTTGCTCTTGTAGCATTGTTTGATTTGAATACATGGGTTGATTTTTGTTCGTGCTTTAGGTGATTTGCTCAATCGTGGAGTCTCTTTCTTGGTGCTCGGTGCTAGTGATGGTTGTTGTGGAGACTAAAATTTATATCCGTGAATTCCGTTGGTACACACGATTTGGAATAATCTATGTTATGGTAGGGGATGTTGTGCTATTAAATCTTGTACTCCCACTTTCAGATTACTATAGCAGGTTAGTTTCTTACATTTAACTTTCCCTTTTGTTTGTAATATTCCTGTCTAGTACCTTTTTTTTTTTCTTTTGCTGCTAAGATGAAAAGGATGTCTTTAATCAAAAGAAAAAGGGTGAGGTTCCACGTTGGTTGAGAGGAGAACAAAACATTCCTTATAAAAGGTGTAAAAACCTCTTCCTAATAGAAGTTTAGACATATCATTTTAGAAGTGCCTCAGACAATTTTTCATGTATTACAATGATACACATCATGTGTATGTAGAGAGTGATTGTAGGTTGATCAGTATAAGGTGTTTAGTTATATGAATTATCTTTTTAATTTGTATTTACTCATTTGAATTCTCAATTCATTGCTTTTCATTCTCTTGATAGTACTACAATGATTATTTTTGTTCTTTCCTTTTATTTTTGTTTTTTTTAATCAATTTCCCCATACAGTGCAGATCTCTGTATGATCATCACCACATTTTCTTTCCAGGTTAGTTCGTTTCTTGTGAGGTCAGGTATATTTTTCTTTATTAAGCTTTCTCTTAAAAAATGCATCCGTAAATTCATTGTTTACTATTTTCATTATGTTTTCCCCCCATCATAAGCATATAGCACTGTCCACGAAACTGTAGGGATTTGTTGGTAGTAATGCTTGATCTCTAGTTTCTAGAAAAGAGGAGCCTTGTGGCTGGTAGGGACTTTGTATCCTCTTTGGTACTTTTAGCCGGGATAATAGTACCATACTTGTGTTGAGAATTGTTGGGAGAGGAGTCCCACATCGGCTAATTAAGGGGTTGATTATGAGTTTATAAGTAAGGAATACATCTCTTTTGGTATCAAGCCTTTTAAACTAAAAGCAAAACCATGAGAGCTTATGCTCAAAGTGGGCAATATCATACCATATGACAAG